TGACATATATCCTATATATATGTTGCTTAACCTAACCGTTTCCTAGTGTGTGATATGTGGAAATTGGAGAAAAACGTGGCTGCTGAATTAAGGAGAAAAAATGTGACCTTGCTATGGCTTCCAAAAATTGGCGACTTCCTTTTGTTTGTTTTTCTCATGCCTTTGTGACTTGTAAATCAACATCATTATCTTGCCCTTTGTAGGTGAGATTGAGAAGCAACTGAGGTAAATAAATTGGTTGTGGCTCGGAGGCGTTTGAATCGATTGTTTGATAGAAAATGTAACGTGAAACTAAGCTCGAAAATCACCGTTTCGAAGATCTTAGAGCGAGCTTCCACGATCACAAGTCTTTCCTTGTCTAGTTTCCTGCCTTCAAGTTACTTTATTGTAAGAGAATGATTTGGTTGTTGCCTATAAGCCCATCTTTGAGCTCCATTATCTTAAAATATATTTTCCTCAAATTCATTTTTAACCATACATTATTTCAATAAAATTATTTATATATAAACCCAAAACTTTTTTTTTTTAACCATACAATCTCCAAAAAAAAAAAAACACTTCTACAAAATTCACTTTTTGTTAAAAATGGGGCTCAAACGGTGGATAGAACAATCATAATTCATCTATATTGAACATATCTTTCATGAAAAATTGATGTAGTTTATCTCTTGATGCCATGTCTTGATTCAAAGCACTCGAGCCAACCTTGAGAAAAATGGAATTATGTCGTATCTATAGTATACATCTTTTTTAGAAACTCTTTTGCCTTTGATTAGTTATCCGATTATATTCCCATGTTCTTGGTATTGAACAAACACTAATAGAGAACCTTTTCTAGCTCCGAAAATTTTGTGAGTTTGTGTCATTTAGCATAACCTTTTTAATTATTGACTATAGATACTCTGATGATTTTTTGATCGTATTTGATATTGTTGCTTGGATTACTGTAAGTTAAACTTTTCTAACACCCACTATTATAATTGCTTTTTTGGTGCAAACTGAATTTTCTACGTTGTATTTGCACAATGATTATGTTAGATATTTACCTGCATAGTCAGGGACAATCCATAATAATTGTACTTACGCGTGGACCCTTTGGACTTTGAGTGTGATCTGGTGAAGACATGGACGATGTCCTCCAAACATCTTCGACTCCACGAATAGTTGTTGAAGGCATTGATGTCGTCAACAACTTCCAAATAAAAAAGGTGGATCGTTGTCTTTTTGTGATGACACGTCAGCAAGCTCTCAAGAATGTAAACCACTCCTACCTTCATTCTATCCAACATCTGGTCGCACTCCCTGATTGCGCCGATCAACTGCGATAGAAACACCTTCTCCTGTACCTGAAAATACGTCTCATGCAGCCTATTGCTTCTTTGGATACCGTCTGTAGCTGCCTCGTCGCCCTCTATCCTCAGTCCAGTCATGAGGGCTAACTCAAAGATAGAGAAAGTAGTGACATTGCCCCCGAGATCGAAGTGAACGACATCGCTGTCGACTGACCTAAGCAGGCGACATAGTAATGCATCAATAATTTGTCCGGAGTACTATACCTCTCTCAACTAATTCAAGGGCTACAGGAAGGACGGCATAGGATGTATGCGTTCTCATCATTCAACAACTCCAACACAGTAGTAAAACTATCTAAACTACTGTTCCACGTACATTTTCCAAACATCTGTCTCAACTTCACAACTACATGGTACTGCATCCTGTAAAAATTCAAATATTAGAACATTCAACAATAGATAATGGAATGAACATAATTTCAAAAAATTAAGCTAATCAAATTACAGACAAAAATAAAAAAAATAATAAAATATAGATTAAGAATTTTAAATTAAAAAAAATATTTATAATATGCAAAAATTAAGAAATTTTAAAATTATTTTTAAAAAATTATAATAAAAACAAAATAAATTAAACAAAATAAAATTATGAAAATTAAATAAAGAATATAATATTATTTAATTAAAGTTGAAAAAAAATTAAACTAATAAAAAAT